TCAAACACAAGCTAATGTATCAGCACTGATGTAGCTCTGACTAGACATGAGTTATCTCTTAAATCCAGAACCAGCTCAAACAGGTCAATTTTGATGTGTCGACAGTGATATGCTCAACTATGTCCTGATGATAAGCAGCTCTCCTAATCAAATCACATAGAAGGTGGTTCAAAGCTCTCCATCTTCCAGTCTCCTTGAACTACAATTGCAGAAGACTTCAGATGATAATGCAGCAATTGGTGGTCATGAGTCATTCAGCTATGGTGCTTGAAATGAATCGATCACAAACATGGTTGATGAGTGATTGATTCGACTATGGTGATGCATCTGACTCTGATAAAGTCATAAGCTGGAGCATGGGGTATGTGTTGAAATGCAATCAGTGACTTCAATGCTTATGAGCTGTTGTGGCTGAGACTTAGGCAATGCTATGGAGACTTGCTATATCTGAAATGAACTGGCTAAGTGCTGATGACAAAGCCTTTAATGCTTCTAAACTGGCTTAAGTGTCAATGATGAAGCCCTGAGCACTTCTGCTGGATCAAGCACTGACAATGATGAGCACAGAAATGGGCTGAGAATGAAACACAAAGTGAGCAGCAGGTGGGAGCCCAGATGACTGATCAATTTTTGTCATGATAACTGCCTCCGCATCATGCATACCATACAAGGTAGTCAGAGCTGGTAAAAGGCAGGCTTGACCAGGCAAGGCATGGTCAGAAGGATTGAAATTGTTACGATTTCAGCATCTCTTTGACGTCACATGATACCTCTCAGGGTCACGTGATGTGTACCTCCTATTTATGGTGCGTGGGTCTTGTGGACAATATTCTAGGGTTAGCAGTTTTTCAATTCATGCGATTAGACTCACTTTAGGATCTGCGATCGAGACCTTAGTGTTTCAGTATGTGTTTCATGTCTGCTGACACCTAGCTCGCCAATTACCTGGCTTGTAGTAGTCACCAGACAGTCCCTGGTTACGGTTTCCTTATGGTTTACTTAGGATATAGTATTGCAGAGACCCCTTGTACTAGTACTCCAGGCTATGGGTCCCTAATATATAAGGGACACAGATCAGGCCAGGAAGACTTACCTCTTTCTCCTTGTTCTCTGAACCTCTTCCCTGTTCCAGAACTTTCTGAACTCAATACTTTTGATCTTTGGTGAGCAGAAGGGATCTGCACTCACTTTCAAGGGATCTTCAAGCTCATATGCTTGCTGGGGAGTCAGATCAGTGAACCTAGTAACCTGCGAGTGAATGTGCAGTAGCTGCATCAGCAAGGACTTAGCAAAGGTAGAGTGAGAGCCTCACTGCTACATCATCTACTAGGTCAAGACAACACTGTAAATGCTGTTGACAGTTTGCATAACTGTTGATGATGTAAAGTATATCCTATACTTTAGTCTCTGTCCACTGAGTGGTAGACTAGTATGTGTGAGAAAGCACACATGATCAGAAGGTTTACAAAGAAAACACTTCATAACATTAGGAAGAGGTTTTCTTTAGGTCAACCTGTCTAGGTTTAGAACCACTACGAGAGTGGTGTCTAACTCGCAAATGCAGCAAGATGAAGAAGTAATTCCAAATCCTATAAGGGAGTCCCAAGCACACTCAAACGCCTCTCGAACTCTGACTAGGTAAACTCTCCAGGATAATAAGAAGAGAAAACAGTATTTGACCTGAGCCTCATCCTCATGTAGGTGCTGGGTATATGAAAGATAATCAGTTATAGGTCACTGAAGGATAACAGACCAGGACCACCAAGCGCTGATGTGCTCAATCGCTTCCTGGCTGCCAGCTACCTTCTATCCTGTCAAGGAAGGCAGATCTGAGCTGTCCATCTTTGATCACCTTGGGCCACAGTCGCAGAAACTTCAGCTGATAATGCTTGAGGGGCAGCTGCGAGTCGTTCAACATTGTGCTTGAAATCGAGCGGTGAGCGGTGATTCAGACTAGGTGTGTCCCCAACTCTAGATGAGTTGAGAAGAGGTTGAGTTGTGTGGGATGGCTAGAAGGGCAGAGAGTGTCTCTACCAAACAGGTGGTCGAGGATTAAGAATTGAGCAGTGACGTGGGTTATTGGCTGACCAACCTGATGGTGTGGGAACTACATATAGGCAGCTCTCCCCAGTGCTATGGACGAGGGTTGGGCACTTTCTAGGTCCCCAGGGCATCTATGCAGCTCTCTCCAGTGCTATAGATGAGATCTGGGCGCTTGCTGAGGCTACGGAGTCTGATGGAGATGGAGATCTGAGTTGCTAGAGCTCGTGACAGATGGCATGAGAAAGAAAATGAGGTGGCGTGAGAGGAAAACATAGTAATGTGCCCTTTACTGGGCACTTCTCGAGTCGAGCTATGGGCCACTGTGAGGAGTGCTACTCTGCGTAGTGTCAAGAGCTAACTAGATGTGATACGAGGATGTAAATGAGTGAGGTGGAATAGGGTGCGCTGCTCTATCGAGATGATGGGCCTAGAACTGAACTCTGAAGGGTGAACTCCTTGTTGTTTTTATGGTAGGTACATGGGTCATTATATAGGTGTAGAATAGCACCTTCTAATGTAGTAGAAGACATTTCCAATCCTTGATCACGTTTCTGATCCTCTGAAACAGTTCCAAAACATTTCTGCCTCCTCCTCTTCATTGCTCGCAAGTCAGAGAACTGGAAGGTAAGGGCCCTCAAGGGTCCAGTGGTCTGCTGTCCTGTGCTTCTCTCACTTAGAATGAATCTTCATGCTAATTTGGCCAAACTCGTCGTGCTCCATCTCTTCTCCTTTATTCTCATAATTGGTGGTGTTAAAGCACGGGTCCTTGCTCATTTCTGAGCCTCATGTATGACCCTTTGTAATATGATGCTGCTGTCTCAGATTCTTCAGAGTTAGGGGCCCTCGTGCTGGTCTGTCTGGACTGTTCTGCTTGACAGATATGTGTTATCGAGTCACATGGCCCTCAGCTGCTCTTTCAGAAGGATTTCTGAGGGCAGACCATTTTGGTGTGTATCATCTCCTCCATTCTGAAACCTGGACCATCCTCTGTCCATCATCTTCATACATCTAGCTTGTCCTTTTGCTGCTGTTCATCTGTGTTTAAGTCCTTTGCCATGTCTTCTTCTCCTCCTCTTGGCATTTTCTCCTCTTACTTTCTCAACTTCAAGGAGCTTTCAGATTAAGCCAAAGCATGGCTTTTCACTCTGGACAATGTAATCATGGATGCACCTGTGCCTGATGCTCCAGAGGAGGTATGGCATCACTGGGTGGATGTGTTCGTGCTTACTTCAGTGAGTCAGAGACCCGTGTGTGGGTGACGTGTGGCTAATCTTCCATTCAGACTGAGCTTCACATTTGTCACCCTTCCATCGCCACTCCAGTTCTCGGCATCATGGCCAGTATACTCAATTGGCTCATGTTCCACTCCCATCCTGAGTTTGACCTATGGCTTGCTGTCATGATTGGCTGTACTGATCTTGCAGCCTTTCACTCGGCCTCCATCAATGCTGGTCCCTTGCACTCTCCTATGGAACTGCACACCAAGATGATGGAGATAGTCAAGGTGATAGACTGGAAAACACTTAGTGGAGTGCCTCAGGCCCATGTTACTGCATGTGACTCATTTCTAATGGGGTGCATGGAGGATCTCGTGGTTGATTATCATGATACAAAGTTCCTCAGGCACATGTGCTCCATCGCCTTCTGGTAGATGCATTTGATCAAGATCATGCAGCTGCGGCTGCTACTGCTGTGGCTGCCAAGCTCATTCATGAGTCGAGTGTTTTTGCTTCGTCTATCGAGCTCGTGAAGTGTGAGTTTAGTGAGACTCTCGCCACCATTTGCGCTATCTCCATTTTTTGTGTGCAGTCCATGGTGGGTTCTTTGGCAGGGTCTCCTGAGCCTCCTGCTTCTGCTACATCATTCGGCAAGGCACCTGCCATGCATGCTAAAGCCATTACCTCCAAGGTTCTCTAAGAATACCTGGATATCGTCCGCAATACTTCTGGGGTGCTCAAGCAGATGCTTGTCAATTTTGGCAAGCCTTGGCCTTCTGCCAAGGTATGTCCATCTTGTTCAGTCTGATATCCGTGTTTACTGACTCTCTGCTTCTAGTGTTCTCGCTGTTCCTCCATGGATGAATATCTCATTGTCCCTGTCTCTCAAAATGCCAGTGCTTCATGTGCCTGCATTCACTGCCACCTGGGTCACACTTCATGCTCTCTTCTCAAGCCCGCTCCTGTGCATACGTTCACCCATTATTTGGTTCATTTTCTTAACTTAGTAGGATCTCCATCTGCTAGTTTTGACCAATGTGTGCACAGGAATGGGGCGCATCTTCCACCACATCCAGAATGTCTGACTGGACCAAGTCTTTCTGATGGAAGTCTTTGAGCATGAACACTTCCTCTTGATCACTGAAATTAATTGGTTGAGAATCCGACTAGAGGCTGTGGAGGGGTGGTTTGATGAGCCAAGCGAGTTTCCATCAGGCTAGACTCATGTAGCCCATCATCTGTCCTGTCCTCTGTATGATAGCCTGAGTGGTTGGCATTGTCTTTGTAATGCATACTCATTTTCTTTACGCAAAATGGAAAAATTGACTCATCCTCTGAGCTTCTCGTGTGTCTCAGTTCTGCTTTGCTGCCTTCTGGATAGGGCACCCTGCCCTATTGTGCTACACTAGTTGGGCTTTCGCAAAGTCAGACTTTGGTACTGCATGGTCGATGTTCATTTCACCATTATTTTTAAGACGCGCCTATTGGCCCAACTTGACGTGTCAATTTTTGTCCCCAATGTTGCTGCTATGACATCTAATGACTTACCTCCACCTCTTCCTCATTCTTCTTCACTGCTCCTGGGCATGCCCATATCCGTGGCCTCTTCTTTTTCACAAATGCTGTCGCAACCCGTCAGCACGCTGCCGGTATGTCTCTTTTCTTTCATGTCCCTTCCTTGATGGCTAATGCAGCACTTTCTTGCAGTCTCCTTCAAAAACCTCTCCACAGGTCACCACCATGTGTCTCGATCTTTATGAGGGATGGGAGGACCTTCAGGTGGCCTGGACTCTGGGTGATGAAGGTGTGATAGAGACCACTGCTGAAGCTTTTATGTTCTACCTGGTGAGCTCGCTACTCTGGGCTTGTTGTTTCCATACTAATCCTCTTTGTTTTTAGCGTGCTCTTGATGATATCCCTGAAGAGACTGCACACGTTCATGCCAAGAATTTCCACAAGAAGGTCCATGCTTTGTTAGACCCCATCACGCATCTGTCCTGGTTAGTGTGGTGTGAAGAGCTGTTGTCCCCGGGGCAGGCTGCTAGGTATGTGATTGCATGCCCTTTGCCTTGCTGATCTTAAAAGGCCATGTAGAAACCAAGCCCTCCTCCATCTTTCATTGCGTCCACTCCTATGCTCACGGAATATGATATTATCGAGATTTGCGAGATGCCGTCGGCTCCTTCTCCACTCATCCTGCCTTTTGCCATTCTTGCTCCATCTTCATGCATCACAGCTCCCTCTGGCACTGAGGCACTTGCTTCTGAGACTCCAACCTTGTCATCATCAAAATTTTAACCTAGCACTGACAATCCATTGTTTCTGCCTAGCATGCCCGGCACTTCTGCCATGGAGGTTGATGCTGATGGAGAGCCCAAAGATGACAAATCTGTGCACCACTTCGACCAGGACAAACTGGCCGATGATGAAGAAGCTTCTGCTGATGATTCTTCACCTACTCCATCTGCCAAGGCCATTCGTCCAAGGTCACCACCACTGTCCTGGACCCACGTATGTGCTTGCCAGTTCATACCTTCTGTGACTGATCCCTGTCTCCTGAGTACCTGTCTGCATGGCACAAGCCCACCATTGCTTGTTTGGTAAGCTCCACCCCTTCTCCGTTCTGAGTTCTGTTGACCGTTATCATATCATAGTGTTATCATTGTCTTGAGTTCGAGAAGGTGACCCAGAACTTGCATTCTTAGTGAGTTCGAGTCAATTTGCTGGAAGTGTCACCGTGACCACAAGGCCTGTATTTGGTGGTCATGCTCTATGGTCTTCAACTTGAATGACGACTCTGGTTGGGTCAGGCTTGATGCCATCTACCACCAGCATCACTGGCCTTTGCCATCTGCCATTGATAAGGATGTGGCCCTCAAGGTGGCCTCTCTACAGACAGCCTATGACAAAGAACAGTGCAAGGCCAACTGCGAGGGCTCTGCTCTTGCTAGGTGACTTGGCCTTCCTCAGAATATCCCCATTGGTGGCTACGAGGACTGCCTGCCTGCGCTTCTGCAGCTCCGTAAGTTTCTTTCCCATGTTCTATCTTTTCTAGCATGTTTTGTCAACATTCTTTCTACAAGGCTCGGTGCCAATCATCTTGGCTGAGGAGAAGGCTGCCTCTGCTGCCACGAGACTCAAGAAAGGAGCCAGGCAAGAAAGAGCCAGCCCGTGCTAGCCATATATTGAAAATTCCACCATGTCACTTCAGTATGCGATTCTCTGCTCCCTTCATGTGTGCACTAATCAATTTTGCCTTGACAGATCTGGTTACCCCTCACACCTTCAAGCGTGCTCACATCGACGATTCAGAGCCCAAGAGTGAGCACTTCCACATGCTGCCTGAAGAGCCCGAAGTCACCACGTCATCCAAGATGAAGTCGTCAAAGGGCAAGAAGCGTGCGAAGGGTTCTGCTGTCACGTCCTTGTCAAAACTGGCCACCACTGATGAGTTCCTGGCCACCATCACTGCTGAACATGATGAGCTGCAGATGTGCCTTTCTGTGACCATGTCACAGTTTGATCTTTTACTCCAAGATTTGCAGAAGATGATCACAGACAACCACAAGTTCCTTGGTCGCAAGCAGCTAAATCTGAGTGTCTCTCGCAGGAGGACTGGCACAGTGATGCCTCTGGGCTTAGTCACAGCTTGTTTTTGTATGCTGTATCTCATGTTCTGCTTCTCTGCACACATGGAGCAATGTACTCATCATCTCTGGTTGCAAAATCTATGTTGCTTGTTTGAAACCATTGATATGACTTGAATAAGAAAAAGAAACATTAAGATAGGCTTGTGATTGAGAGTTGAGCTAGTTTTTTTTTTTTTGAAGGAATGAAAGGAATTATCTTGAAAACTGTATATAGCGCATTGCTGACTCCTGGTTGAGGGCTACTTTTCACCGTCATTTGATTCTTCTGCCTGCTGGTCCTCTTCTTCACTTTTCGATTCTTCTTCACCATCTTCTACCTCAGGTTTTTCCTCTCCTTCATCCTCCACTTGACTCATTTCCTTGAGTCGGGACTCCGATGCATCTAGCATTTCCTCAGATATGGTGACTTTCTTTCTTGCCATGAAGGGTATCACCCAAAATGCCACTATTGGCCTGTCCAACACCGCTCCATCCAGCTTAGAGAGTACGTACGCTCCTTGCCGATTGCAAAACAACACAATGTATGGTCCAATGTATCGCGATCACATTTTTCAGTTAAGCGCTTTTTCAATCTAAGTGTGCCATACTAGGACTAGATCTCTGCATTTGAAGTCAAAGTTCTTGATTGTTTGTCCATGTTCTCATTTAAATCATCTTGCCGCTGCTCTCCTAGCCTCGTGAACAGCATTGTGAATATGCACAACTTGTTCTCGACATTTTTATAGTGCCTCCGCTCAGCTGGCAATCAGGTCTGTGGTGGTTACCATTCTGACTGGTGCCAAAATCGAATAGGTTGCTTTGACTATATCGAGTGGTAATATGGGTTAGGTACCAGTGATAGCGAAATAGGGTGAGCATCCCATGCATCTTCTGATGGTTACCCTTTTGACCAAAATACTGAGTGAGCTACCTGGCTCCATTTGCATTCTTCGCCATCAGCGGCCTTAAATAGACCCTGCCTTACGTCGAAATGTGGACATTTGACTATTCTGTTTGTGTGCGAGTTATAACCACTGATCCAGATGTGCTTGACATGGTACTTGTTTTCCAGATAGGCTACGGCTTTCACGAATGGGGCTTCATTGTCTGTTATGATTTCTGACAGTGCTCCCCACCGACAAATGATGTCTTCAAAGATCCAATCGCTAAGTGCCTTCACAGTCTCTGCTCGAAGCATTCGAAACTCAGGATAGTGCATGAGCGAGCATCATCCTTGCATGATATATTTGAATCTGTTCGAGGGTGGCATGTGCATCATATCGATATATATTTTTGTAAAGATCAGTGCTGGTATCACAACAGTCAGCGGGATCAGGATTTGATGAATTTGTCATTTCTGGCATATTTTACAGGTTCTGATAAATCACGCAATGTCTGCACCAATATCTGGCCACCAAAATTGTTCACGCATGGCTGCCTGAGTCAGAAAAATGCCTCAGTGACCCAGCTTATCGTGCACTCCGGCCAGAATCTTTAGACAATGTTCAGGTAGAACCACTAGCTTGTGTGATCCCTGAGCGTCCTTTTGCCAAAGTCGTCCATCCCACTTGAAGAAGTGCACTGCATATTTGAGCATGTGATCATACTCCCTTTCAGTCAGATCCTCCAGCTTCTGCAGTGTCTTTAGCCAGTCAGTGATCTGCTTGATTAGTTTATCATTCCTTTTGACTCTTGCCGATCATGAGACATTGGTGTAGGGTATTGGGCTTTGTTCTGCCATTAACTCCGTTCCGTTATCTGCCTGTACTGGTAGTGCGAAAATAGCTTGAATGCCTGAATCCTCCCCCGTTCTGAAAAATTGACCATCCTCGGTCACCGGTGTAGGACTCGTGTGTTGTGATAGGGGAAGTATATGATGAATGAAACTGTGCATCTGATCTACCCAGTCATCAAACTCCATGTTCTCAATCAGTTCTGGCGGTGGATCCTCCAGCTGTTTAGGTCAACGTGATAAATTATCTGATCCATGCATTACTCCTGGTATGTGGACTAGCTTGAATTGGTACATCAGAATGGCAATGACCCAATAATTGATACTCACGCTGGGTGTGATATCAGGTTTCTGCAACATTCCCTTGATGTATTTTGCATCTACTTCGATGATGAGTTTCCGAACACCAGTTAAGTGGAACTTGAGTGCTCAGAGCATGTGGTATAGTCCGTATAACTCTAGTTTTGGCCGTGAAAACCATTTTCCATGATCATTGAGCATGATCAAGCCAAACCTCTTGAAGTACCATTTCTTCGATACATCGTTCGCACCCTGACACAGTTGATACCCAACTGCAATCAGAGAGGTGTCTACTGCCAGAATAATAGGTGCAAAAGAGTCATAGTCAATGCGTGCAATGTGGGGGACTCTAATAGGGCTTGTTTCAAGTCCTCCATCACTTTGAGCTGAGGTTCTCCGAACTCAAACGGGACTCCTTTCTGCATGAGCTGTATTAGTGAGTGAGCTCTTTTTGCAAAGTCCTTGATGAAGATTCTTGCTACTCTGATTGTGCCTAAGAAGGCTCGGACCTCCAAAAGATCTTTGCATGGTCCCCAATTCTGAATAGTGATATGCTCAACTGTGTCCTGGCCATGAGCAGCACTCCTAACCAAACCCCTACTGATGGAAGGTGAACTGGGGCTCTGTCCATCCATGGTCCCTTTGGGCTATGGTTGCAGGGAACTTCAGATGATAATGCAGTGACGGGCAGCCATGAGTCGTTCAGCTATGATGCTTGAAATGGATCAGATTGTCAAGACTTCTGAATCGGTGAGTGTCGGACTCGACTATTGTCACGGCACGCCGATGACAAAGATAGACAACCCAAATAAGAGTCCCCTTGAGGGTCTCTGAGTAAAAGCCAACAGCGAGGAACTGTGGCAATACGACGTGCCCACTGACGAGGCCGAAGTTGCTGGTCGCAGAGTAGGACTTACTGGTGAGGCAGGCAGTGCTATTACAGATGAGAGAATGCAACTGGATGTATAGCACACTGAGAGTGTCTGATAAGACCCCTCTGTGATGGTAGTGGTGGACGAAGGAGAATAAGACTGAGGTCTCCTCCTCATCTTGCTGGTCCTTATATACACGAGTGTCTAGCTACTGTACAGTACTACATAAGCAGGTCACACGCTATTCTACTGGATGGTGCTACAATCGTACGACTTGTCCCAATTATCCTGATTGGTTGCCTAATAATATCCCACGGAGATGGAGCCCCTCTTGAGCATGCAATATGGTGTCATGGTGATTGCACCTTATGATGCAATGCCGAGGAGCTCAGTGTCACATGACTATGCCGGGAGAGATCTGAGATCATGTGACTAGGTGATCGGTTATCTTATCTCCCATTAGGTCATGTGACTTGTTCGACTTGAAATGACAAAAAATAATACATTCCAACATGTATGTTCCTTTTATTGACTTTGTCAGGTAAAACTGTAACAACTATGGAGACACCTCCAACTGGAAAACAGTCAAAAGCTGAAATGTGAGGATGTGTGAGTGTAGAATGTGATTGGCAACTCCTGTGCTCATGAACTGTGGTGGCTAAAGGTCTGGGCTGTGGCATGAGGGCTTGCTATATCTAGAAAGTGCTGGTGAAGTGCTGGTGACGAACCTCTAATTGCTTCTGAACTGGGTGAAGCACCAACGATGAAGCCCTGAGCATCTCTAAAACTGAATCAAGCACCAACGATGAGGATCTAGTTGCCTCTGAACTGGGTGAAGTGCCGATGATGAAGCCCTGAGCACTTCTGACTGAAACAAGCACCAACGATGAACTCCTGAGCACTAGCGAGGCTACAGGGTCTGATGGGGATGAAATCCTAGTTTGAGACTCGTGACTGGTGGCGTGCGAGTGAAATGCGATGGCGTGAGATATGAGAATGCAATAATGTGACTTATCTGGCTGAAATCCGAGTCGAGCTAGAGGCCACTGCTGAGAGTGCAGCCTCTCTCAGTGTTGAGAATCCCAGAGATGTAGAACGTGATTGCAATAGATGTAGACATAGTTGAGCATGATGCCCTAGCATAGATGAGACATGAACTGAGCACTGCTTGGTGGGAAAAACTCTCCTATTGGTTTTAGGTATATGGTAGATTATATAGTGGGTCAGAAATGAGCCAGCTAAGTCACTGAAATGTGTTTCCGATCATAGAATGGGCTTCCGATCCAGTAAAACATGTCGCATCACTCACTCCTGCTCCCTCTCTGTACTTTGCAGTCAGGGAATGGGAAGCTGGCCCTGTCAGGGTCCATCGGTCTGCAGGTCTGTGTTTTGCTCAGGTAGTGCACTTGCTCGTTTCTGCTCTCGCACTGCATCTCATAATTGACCAGGCTTCACAACGGCCTGCTCATCATTTCCATGCCTCATGTTCACCTTCTGATCTCTTTACTTGGTTTTGCATTTCCAGGCAGTTGGTAAAGCCTTCCTTTGCCCATTCTGGACTGCTCCAGCTCTTGCTTGGATGCTCTCAGATTGCAGCAACTTGCTATCCAATTGTGCGATAGACAGACACATTGTCTGGCATTTTCCAATTGCAGAATATCTCGGTGCATATCATTTCCCCCGTTCTAGAATCTAAACCATCCCTGGTCTGTCGTGCATGCATATTCCAGATAGGGTGGCTCATCTTCGTGTTCTTTCATCCCTTGCCACTATGTTCCACATCGACAGTATCTTCAGCCTCACCGCCTGCACTCGTGGGGTTTACCCTATTGACGGTGTCTGTGTCCTATTGCTACAGCGATTGGATAATCTCATCAGTATGTACCCACTTCTGATGCCCCTGAGGTGGTCTGGCAGAGCTGAGCCACATCGTTTTCTGCTTATGAGGTGAGTATTTCGTGTCACAATCTACCTTTTAATGGCTAATGCTGTGGCTGTCCAGTTATGCATGACTCTCGACTATCTGGACCATGCCAAGTGCTTGATTTGTAAGGTCAACTCAGTTTACAACTGGCTGGTACTGAACATGAGCCCTGACTTTGACTGAATTCCAGCAGTGGTTCTTCCTCCCTGAGAGGTTATTCTGAGGCTGTCGAGATCGCTGACCCGATCTGCTCTCCTGCTCAAATGACTGCGATCATGCAAGAGATCGTTGAGGCTGCAGACTGTGGTGATTTTGCCAAGTTTTCAGAAGGTTGTGTCTGCACTTGTGACCACTTCTTAATTGCATACACTGCCAATAATGTATTCATGAATTGGTGCAACCATACATGCCTTGGGCAAACCATCCTAATTGGCTGCTGGTGGATAGACTATGATAGTAGATGTGCCCCTCCTCCTTCCACTGTGTCTCTTGCTATGGCAGAGATTCTTCAGGATGTGGTCAAGTGTGAAGCAGACATGGTTGTGAGTCCTTTGAAGGTGCCATCACGTTCGGCATCCATTGTAAGCACGGCATCATTTGTGGTCACCACTAAGTCCTCCCAGTCGGATACTCTGTGTGAATACTACATCACCATCCATGCTCTCCCAAAGTGCATGCAGATCACATTTTTGAGCTTACACAAGCTGTGGCCGCATACCAAGGTGCGCCTGCTCA